ATTATTTATGATTGAAATGAAAGCCTGGGAACGCAGCGGCGATGGAGGAGCGCTGCATAGCAAACGATGTTGCCTATGCCAGTTTACATAACCAACTCTTGGGTAAACAGCGGATTAAGCACAGCACGGGGCAAGGCGAAGAAACGGGAGCAAAATGTTATATTCACACATTAGCCTATCAGAGGCCAGCGTTCCAGAGCAGTACACTGCGGAGCTTTTTTGATGCAGCTGGTCTTCATCTGCAAGTCCTTTTGAGCATGAAAGTGTGGTGCGCTGCAGATTCTCGCCTCCAGTGCAACTTTATGAAACGTTGATGTGAAGAAAAGTGGGGTCAAAATGAGCTTGCTGGAACTGGAGAGCTTCTCGCCTTAATTAAAGACACCATCTGTTAAATGTTATTAGTAAAACTGGCAGAGTGAGCATTAGAGAAGCGAACAGGGCTTTCATTTTGTGCGCTATTTCCAGCAGCGATGCCTTGTTGAGCAAGGGATTCTGGGTTTAGGGCTCCAGAGCTCCCCTGCTGAGGTGTCTTTGAGCAACACACGGAATCTCTATCAGGGTACAGTCCTTGAAGCATCGGATTTTCAGATTAAATTAATTGAAAGCATGATAGGACTAATTACAAAGTTATGTTTTTTGTACATTATATATAATCATCACCCCAAAAAAGCTGTACTGTAGGAATAATCTTCTCTGGAAGTTTTTGGGGTAATCCTTTTTTTAGATAATGTGCCGACTAAATCAAATCAAGTTTTATTTATATAGCACATTTTTAAACGATTTTTGGTCGAGCCAAAGTGACTAATACTTTATTTTCGAGTATTTGTAACTTTTCAGAAGCTAACAAAGTCCTCAACTCAACTGTTTGGCTTTCTATATGGGACAATTCATGAATATACATAATTCAGAATGGTTTCGAGTCCCAAGTCTGCACTGACTGCACAAGTCCTAAAAAAGTCATAATGCACTCGACCCAAGACGACCCGCGTTTTAAAAACTGCATTTTGTATGTTGTTGACCCAAAAATAAGTAGTTCAAGATCAAATAACCGATTGTGAGCTGTCAATCGTGTGAATTGCCAGATATAGATTATATGTTGAAATCTACAGTCAAAGCCAAACAGTTGAATTGTTGTGTCTCAACTAATAAGCTGTTGAAAAGATACAAATACTCTAAATAATAAAGTATTTATAGGCAGACCATCCAAAGGAATTTTTATTTACAAAAGTATGTTTGAAAAACTTGCAAATGTGTGTGTAGTTCACCTCAAGTAAACCCGAGCATGTGATGTTGTTTTCCAGCTGCAAGACACACAGAAAAAAGCACCAACAGACCACGGCAACATATACTGAATCAATCTTTATTTATATTAAATTAAAAATATACTTTTGACAGATTCATGTAACAAACATGAGGAACGGTATTTTCTATGATATAAAGCTTTGGGTATGGTTTCAAATAACTCTGGGAGATAGTCGCGGGGAGATAAAGGGACACGGGGAAGCTAACGGTCGGCGAGTTACTCCGAATGCTTTTCTCTCTACGTTGTCTCCTCTAAAAGCATGCAAAACAAATCAGAAATTAAGGGGGCTGTGCTTTGCCTTTTAAGGGGGTGGGGGCGTGGCTCAGTAGTATTTCCAGTGGAAAGTAAGCAGAGAAGGTAACACAGTTTATCTGGGTTGGTTGGCAGCACTGGTTTCAGGTTTACAGGAAATATAAAGGGGGGGAGATAAAGAGGAAAATACTGTAATGTTCGCTTGTTCCCATTACTGAGTGACAAATGAAATGTGGCAAGCATGGGGAAGCGAAACATGTCACCCCCCCCCCTCTTCCACCATTCCTACTTTTAAACACCTACAACTGAAACATCACATGAGGACGGCCACAACGCTCGGGAATAAAAAGGGGCTTCACAAGAGTTTCCACATGAGAAAAAAGGGTCAACAAGCACTTTTTAAAAATCAAATCCCCATTAGTCAAAAGCTACACTTACATAAAGCAAATATGTACGGCTCTTTCTGTACAAGTTGTTATAAGCGGGAGAAAAACAGCAGTAGGAGAGAAGACCATACAAATTCAAAGCATTGCCTCCATATTTACAAATTCGCAACGTCGCCCCGCTTCAGTGCTTTATAAAAATACTATTCACATTTTGTTGTTGTTGAAGTGTGTTAGATAAGGTTCGGAGGAAACCCCAAAGATTCTGTACATGTATACGGATCTGATAATTTAAAACACAGGGACATGAAATCGATGAGTTGTGCAATTACACAGACAGAAGGAATCGCAATGACAAACGTAGGGTAAAACACAAAAAGGTCCTTGAAGAAATCCTCAATAATATGGAAAACTACTATTAAAAGGGGTAATATACACAAAATAAATCCCATGAACGATTTCAGAAGTAATGATTCCCAGTTTGTGCTACTGAATTTCATACAAAAATGTGGGTATTTTCTCCCATTTGAATATAATACTGTGGTCAATGGAGAGATACAAAGGTGGAGGCAGTAAAACACTCACTTTGGGTACCATGCAAGGTGATATTGTACTATACATTAGACTCAGCCTGTATGGATGAAATATAGAAGGATTCACTTCAGTACAACGTGGCTACATGCCTCTGCACCTTGGCTCGAAAAAGAAACAGTAGACAGTATTAAATAAAAAAAGTGATCAGTCTTAAAACACCAGAGCAGTGGAGTGTTCTTGAACTGCCATGAGCCACACGAGTGTTTATGGGCTGAGACAAATAGCAGCAGGTAACACAGTCCAATGCCAAAGGCGAAATGAGATATTAGTCGGCAGAGAGGGAAAATGATTGCTTCCACAAAGAGCAAAACAAATTGTGTTACTTTTAAAAACATCACCAAGGCCTTTCCGATGACACAAATAAGAAGATCAGGTATTTGTCTTCCTTTTGTGGCAATACTCTTGAGAAGATTGAATTCAAAGTAAAGGGTCTCGGATAGTTTCAAGTGCTCTCGAGAACACGTGAGGCCTGTCTTTCAGTCTAATCTGGTCTCATAGTTTGAGTCTGCAGTGTAATTCAGGCCACCATTTCTTCTTCTTGAAACCCAGATTCTGCTTCCATCGCTCAGTATGTATAAACAAACCCAAACACGGCATAAATATTTCACATTGATATTAAATGTTGTCTCTATTTCCTTAAATTAGAGCTCCATTAGGACTACAAAATACTCCATCAAATAATCATGATATCATCAAAGCAGCATTAGAAATACTGTTTGAAGCAAAGAAGGGAAAAAAAAGCGAGGACATTCTTGAAGCTGGTCAGGACCACCTTAACGGCGTCTTCTTCGTGAACTCCTGGCACCTTCCTCTGACTTTTTGCTAAAGCTTTCTGAAGTGGTAAAAACCAGATAAACAAGTTGAATCTTTCAGTAACGAGGGGTGGAAATCCTTTCTACAAATCAAAGTGCTCCATGGGGAGGACAAACATGTACAGCTTACTCAGACTAACACTTTCACACGGAAGCAGACATTAAAATACACTAAATAAATATCCTACACAAATAAAATAAAAGCTTAGACAGTGTTCTACCACAGACGTTAAACATGGCTAAAAAAACTCACTAACGATTTGTCATATTGATTCAACTAAGATGATGAGGCCCTCTGAGGAAAATCACCATTATACAATTGTCCTCTTGATCTTTGTAGTTTGGCAAGCTTTGTGGTGTTTTCCCACCCACAGGTCTACTGTATGGCTTGGCGGAAGAAATAATGGCTGTAACTCCAGCGCTTTTAGCAGCATTGACTGGCAGTTTGCATGCAGAGGCATCACTAGTGAGGGCTAGAACTATTCTCTGGAGAGTAAAGGCGCGATCAGTTGTCTATTGTTGAGTAAACCTTAGTGTGGATACATACTATGATGTCACTCTGGACTTATAATAGACCCAGAATGAAAATCATTGTCCAACAGTTGCCAGACTACTAATGCGGTGTTCAAAAAAACGATCCAATCTCTTCCAATATAAGTCATTGTAATACGGTATCAGGTGACTTCAAAATAATTCTAGTAACCTTGGACAGCAACCAAGAAGATAACATTTACCTACCCTGTCCCACAGAAATTGGGTTCATATAGTATTGATTTTCTTTCCCAAAATATCATTGTCTGGATTATCTTCAAGATGATTCCAGGCATAAAAAGGGCATTCTTTGACTGTTTTCATCGAAATAAATATCTGTTAAGTCTCTATCTAATGTCAAATACACATCAAAATGGTTATAGAGCCAATGGCCCACCGATGAAGGTATTTTAATATTTATATAAAACATTTGCAGTATTAGGAACTGGGTGTCTATGGAAGAGAAAATCAGAAAGAATGTTATATTAGGGCACGGTCACCATAAAGGTGTCAAAAGTTGAGCTCAAAAGAAGTGACGATGCAGATATGCTTGTAATCAGAAGCGAATGTTTTTTCACCCCTACTCTCGCATAGAACGGAAGTCAATGGGTCAACCGTTATATTTGCATGTATAGAGTGGTGCAGGGATGACGTATTTACCCGGAAGTAAGCTGCGCATGGGTTCCCTCGACAAAAAAGCAATGGGATTTCTCCATAGGATTTGGGAAAATAGCTCGAAATAAGGTGTGTGGAAAAAGAACCTGTTTGATAAATGCACGTTTTGTTCAGCCGGATAATCTCCACATGTCTACCCTACTTTTATAATGTTCTAATCATAAATCTAGTCGCCAGAAGCAAAATGCTAACGTTATGCTATAAACGAACTACAGCAGGGTCGCTGCTTCAACGTCACGCCAACTTAAGATCCATATTCAAACATACAGATTCTAAATGGAACAAGTTGAAGCGTTTGTTTGAACAGTTTGCAGGAGGCAGGTACTTGCTTTCAAGCAGAACAGGGCAACCAAACTTAGAGGAGTGTTTACGTGTTCGGTGTAATGACGTAAAACGGCCTCGACAACTTCTGTAGTCCTATTCAGCCACTTGTTAACAACCATCGTTTTTCAGACACGTAAACTCTTCAGAAATCACCAGTGGGGTCACTGCTGATGGATTTAATGTCGTAGAACAAAACGTGATCCATCTCTTAAATTTCTCCTTATTTCCAGCTCTTTTCCAAAATCCTATGGAGAGATCCCATTGGCTCTGAGACGAGGGAACCGGTAGTGGTAAAATGCTAACTCACTTCCGGGTTTTAGGACTCGTCACTGCACCACTCTATTACCGTGCCATTTCACTTTTTTCCATTGTAAACGCACAACATATGGAACTATGCCAACACTTTAAGCTCATGTATCCAAAGACTCTGAACTTAAATAGGAATTCTAAATCAATCAGGACTGAAGACTTACATATTGCCATTCTTAAAACGTTTTAAAACTTGACTGCAGATGGGGGAAACCTTCGATGTTTGACCAGTGATGGGTTTGTTAGCAGCAGCACTGAACCTGTCAACCATGTTATAACCGACTTCGACCGCAACTCTTTTTCTACAGATAACCTTATGAGGCCAAATATGCTCGCTAACATGTGAGCACACATACTAGGTCCATTCACACTGACACAAACACACACAAAAAGTAGTCCAGTTTTCTGTGCTCTGCTGGTGCTGTCTCTTTCATTCCTTGAGGTCTTCATTAGGCCGCTTGTAAGAACTTTCCCTCCCCTCAGGATTTTCTTAGCTCCTTCTCTCACTATCTGTGTCTATAATCACCGTTCTCAGTTTGGCTGCTTTGTGGTTGGTCTTATTCAGCAGATTCAGGAATCTATGCTCTCATGGCATGACATTTTTTACACATCTACGTTAGCATCCTGGTCTGAATGGGAAAACCAGTGTATAAAAATCCATTGTCTCAACACTGCAACCAGTGTTTATAAAAATGTTTACAGTGTATTTCTTCCCTTAGGCTCGGAAAAAGGCTGTTTTCGCACAGCTTTTCCAAGTAGACAGCAAAAACAACAAAACAGCAGTTGCCCTGTGTATTTTCAGGCAAGTCCATGGTCGAACTACACACGTGAAAGGAGCGATCACTGTAGTTTGGGCCGTCACAGTATCACAGTAACAGTAGAAAGATGAGTTTCACATATTTGATGGAGAATTCGAGAACTTTATGGTATAATTCTATGGGCAAAATGATTGAATATGATTGATCAGCTTTCATGAAGCTGGAAGTCCTGACACAACCCTTTCAGTCTTTTTCCTCACTCTACAAGGTCATTCACAGAACAAGATATCTTAACATCCAACCGACTGTATTTGCTCTTTCTGTTTGCCTATCTCACAAACCCATAGAAGCGTATTGTTCATCCCCAGACGTTCGTACTGGGGAGATAATACAACTTCTTGTTCCTTTCTTGAAGCTGACTCCACAATGGCTGGCAGTGAGTTCAGGTCCATCTTTTTTCTACGCCACTGTAGTTATATTGTGCTGGGACAACACAGTACGTCCTCTGCTTTGTGACAGTCATTTGTCCTTCACGTTCTCACTGAAATGGAGCGCAGTCTCTATCTACAGGACAGAAATGGACTGGATTGGATATAGTGAAGGTGCGTGGGTCTGCTTGGCTCGGTTTGGTCCACCTCCTCCGGATGTCACTACAATCTACAGCAGATGGCACGTTGTTTGAAAACAATTGGGGGCTCTGGTTGTTGCCGCTCCCCTTTGTATGGGACAGTGGAACCGGAGAGGATGTCTGGGTTGCTGGAGGCTAGAGTCACATTGAGGAACGTTTGTCAAATAGAACGATTTAGACCACAGTGTTCCGCTGCCGGTAGGGTGGAGGCGGCAAGACGGTGCCGGACTTCAGGGAAAAGTCCGACATGTATTCAGGGTTTTCAGCTACTGCCGGCCGTATATGTCCGTTCTGCTTGTAGAAGAGCTTGGCGTTGGTGGAACCGCCCTGTGCACCCTCCGGGATCGCCTGGTTGGACGATTTGGGAGGCAAGCTGTGCTGCCAGTATTCCGGATTGTCAAAGGTCACCTTCAGCTTCTTCCCGCTGAGTTTACCTGTTGTCTGTCCGTGCTTCAGCAAGCTAGCTGGGTGCGAGGTGGCGTGGATCTGGTAGGCTGGCAGGTTGCCGTGCCCGATGGTGGCCGAAGTGGACAAGGCGCCAGATTGGCACACCTGGGCCTGGGCAGAAGTTCCTGTTTGGCTGACCATACCGCCACCTGGATTTCCTGCGGGTTTGATGGTGTGGTGGGTGTGGAGGATGTGGGTCGCTGGGCCGTGGTGGCAAGGCAGGCCAGATGGTGAGGGCAGGGCTGTGGGGAGGGGGTAGTGGGGCAGGCTGGTTTGGATTGTAAGCGGGAGGTGGGAGCCTGAAGAAGCAATAGAGCAAGTGGGATGGACGGGTAGGGGCAGACCATTTCTCCTCAGAGCTTCCAGGCCCAGATCAGCAGGGCTGTGGAAGGTGTTGAGGTACAGTGGCTCGTTGATGTACTCGTCCTCTCCTTTGGGCTGGCTGTTGGGCGTGCTGTGGTAGCCCGGGTTATCCAAGGCGTGGATCTCGCCGTTCTTACGTCGCGTGACAAACGGGTTTTCTTCAATGGGATTCAGATACTCTGTAGCACAGATCAAAGGAGGAGAGGGGAGGGTAGGAAAGAAAAAGAGAAAAAAGGAGTTTAGGATAGAATAAGACAACAAGATCAACAGAAGTCAAATCGAGAGAAAAGGAAACATAAGCAATAGAAATTGAAAGAGATCACTCGCTAATGAGGGTGGAAGATGGAGATGATAATGGCGATAATGGCAGCCACTCAGGAGCAGACGGGCAAAATGCCAGCAGTTCTTTGGCACTGGAAACTCCATCTGCTGGGGGTGAAAATGCCAGCAAATGACCCCTCTTCACTGCTTCCAAGCGCTATAATAGTGGGGTGCGAAAACCTATTGATTTTGCCCACTCTTCCGCTCCTTGACATTGCATCACATGCATTCGGCTGCGGGCTTTTGTTATATTTTGTGCTGCTCGAGAATCAAAGACGGTCGCGCGAGAGCGAAGCTGATGGACAGAATTATGATCAAAGGCAAAACATGACTCTGTAGTAGCTGACATACAGCGTGGAAGGAAACTGGGTAGGAATTTTAATCAATGGAGCGAAATGGAATGAACAGGCAGAATATACTACATGAGTGTACTTACTATGTGAATGAACAAAGAGATGACAGAACAGGGGAACAATTTGTAGCACAAACAGGATGTTTAAATTGTCTTCATGGAACAGCACAGATGTGTGTGGTATAGTTGATGTTTGCGCGACTTTTATATCATGGTGTTTTATACATTTGTAAGAAATTATAATAAGTTAGGGACGGTTATTTCAGAACACCTATTTAAATGTTTGTAAGTGCTCTGGAAAATGATTTGTGTTGCGTTACCTGAAGAGCTCTTGTCCTTCATGGGTGTCATGTATCCGTCCTCATCAGTGTCCCCTCTTGGTGCCCTCTCACCCAAGAAGATGGTGGGGTCTGCGCTGTACCTCTGGCCCCCACTGTCCTCTCCCTGGCTCAGGCTCTTCTTATGCAGGCTGCCGTTACAGCGCTGGTCCTCCAGGGCCGGACCCGGTCCACCTGTTGCTTCCTGGTTCATGGCGGCTTGGGCCCCTGCCACAGAGCCCTCTGCAGGGATTGGACCCCCGTCTCGATAGCCAAACTGGTTCTGTGGCAAAAATGGGTTGCAGATAGAGAAGAGAAGTACTGTTATCTTTGTTCTGCTTCCAATCTTTGTGATAAAAGAGCAGTTAACAAAATCAACTCAAGATGTCTAAGGTTCAATTGAATCATAACAAATACACCAAAAAGTTGGAGTGAGTTTAAGCCAGCTGGATGCCACCTGCGGCAAAGGAAGTGAGACTTTTAACCCGTGCAGCTGCCTGTTGAAGGGAACATTCTCCAACAAAGTTCTGAAAATGTAATCATCAGCCTTAAGGGACTGCAAGGGCAGCCAGGCAGAGCTTGCATACAAACACCTGAACCTCAAAAAAGAACAAAAAACCCCACAAGAAAATACAAAACATGACATGTGAAGCAAAGGGCTTCTTGTGTTGCTGTGCTGGATCGCCGCAGGCTGTTTAACCCAGGCCTTCTCCTCGCCACTCTTGCCAACTGCTAGCGCTACAGCAGCAATTACAGGAAGCAGAGCTACAAAACACAACAGAGGAAAACAAAGAAACGTCCCGAGGTTATATTCGTGCACTTACTCCCACTGTCTGCCCTCCATTGCAATCAACTTCCCCCACCTCCAAACTTCTCTGTTCATCCCTTCTTCAAAGCCAGTCATTATCCGCTCCTCTTTTCAAGTATGAGCATGAGATCAAATCAGTCCAGATTAGATAAGCGTCTGTATCGGACTGCGGTGGCGCTACCTGAATAACTAACTTCCTGTGGCAAAGTCAGCCAGCCGATGGATTTGAACAATGGCTTACATTCCCTGTGTGGGCATGTAAGGGCTTTTGACTGCCTAATCAAAAGAGTTCCAATTCAAGATAGGGATGTTGACCTTGAATTGCAAACCTTGGAAGGATTACTTTGCGTGTTTCTTTCGAGTGTGTTCGTCAGGGAACAAAGTCCCGCCGGCAAACTGCTAGGTCACAGGGGTAAAAAGTGCATAAGATGCAGAGCATTGGGCTGGCGGCACACGTGCACGCTGCAGAGCAAACACCCGAGCCTGCGCTGATTATCTATTAGTAAACGGCAGCGGCATTTTAAGAGAGCTTCTGCTATTTGCTACTGCAGCTTTGAGTAATGAAACCTGGGGCCTAGGGAGCCAGCGTGTAAAGAGCCCAGGTTTAAGCCACACATACTGGGTTGGAAATGATGGAGGTGGGCCATTAGTGGAGGAAAATCATCAGTGTATTCAAAGTTCTTAACCACCTTGACCACGTATGGAGGACAGGGAGTTGGGGTTGTTTTCAAAGAGAAAGAAAAAATAAGTTATGCTTTAATGTTAAATCAGAACACTTGAAGGGGTTTTGTTAGGATATTTGGTGTGTTATCATATTAAAATGTTTAAAACTGGTTCAACAAACTGAAAAAAATATTTGTTTAGGTGACGAAAATGTTGCAATTGACATATTGGTGTGCTTACTCTGTTTGAGTCGACGCGAGGCCTGGTTGTGTATGACGGAGGAGGCATGTTGAAGCCTCGAGGCACCAGATACTCGTCGGCATCCATCAGGTCGTTCAGGTCCTCCTCATCCAGAAGGCTCTGGAAGAACTTGCTGTCATTGGGGCTGGGGAGCTTCATGCGGTCATCCCCCTGAAGAGTAGAAAAGTGAAACCATGTAAGTGACAACATTAGATTCTATATTGCTAAAAAAAGCACCACAAAATGTCTCAGAAGATCGAAATATGTTCATTCTGATATTACTACTGTCCCTTTAAAAGCCTTTGTATTGAGTGCTCTGACAGTGAGGTAAACCCACCTGGATGACAAGGTATCGCTGGGGGTCCCGGGCCATTCTGCAGAACTCAGCAGCCAGCTCCTTGAACTTGGGCCTGCTGTCTGCGTCAATCATCCAGCCTGAGGGAGAGAAAGACACATATTTAGCATTGGAAGACATTAGTAAAAAATTACCAAATTCCAAAAAGGGTATCTTATAATAGTCAATATATGATAGCTTCTGGTAGAAAACCACAATGCTGACACAAAAAGGGGAAAGGTCGCCACTTGGCTGAATGATGGGATGGTTCACTTTAGTTTTTGTCATTTTAAGACGGTTTAATGCAAGAATGTTACTTTTTGGTAGAAATGCAGCTTGCATTTTTAGTCCTGTAACTGCATTTCATCTGTGTCCCAAAATGACCCTGCCACACAGTAACAGTATTTCTCGATAAAAGAAAATGTTGGTTAATTGCCGTTAATTGTCCTGTAGAAAATACAAAAAAACAGTGGAGGAGCAAGCATGATGTTTACCTAAACAAACTTTTAAGTGCCTTGCTTAAGGGCAACTTAGAGGTAGTTATTAAGCTAGAGTAAAGTGTTTGTCATTTTGATCTCCAGCCTACTTTGTCTCCCACAGCCGCAGTAAACACAGCAAAGCGCTGCAGGTGGAGAGAGGCCAGGTGGTGTCTCGGCTCAGATTGGGCAGTAAAGCAACCTGAGTTTCTGATTTACATATTGTACAACAGTGATGGCTGAAGTGGGGTCTGGCAGCCTCTAGCAACCCGACATGGAGGTATCATATCTCACCAGCACAATATAATTGCTTCATTTGTCTATATTTGACTGGTAACCACAGTATCACAAAATGTATGCGGTGAAAAGGATGGATCTTATACTAGTTCTCCTCAAATGAACCGCAGACCTTCACTGTTGTCATTCCACCTGCCCGTCTGCACTCGGTTCATCTGATTTCCGCTTGCCCCCCCCACGCAGGCACATTACCTTAAATGAGGTGCAATTACTCCGGCAATCAAACTCTATTTCATCTTTATTGGGGTGGCGCTGAGGCGGAGGGGCACGCAGTGTGGCAGCGCAACAAATCACAAACAACGGCTCTCAGTCAACATGTAATTAGAATTAATGCGGCCAATTGCTTCCGTTTGGCTCTGCGTCAGGTCCCCCGCCTGACTCTCCTGCTGGTCTGACTCACTGGCTATTTCTGACCACTGTTAATATAAGTTAAAAGTGAAAGTAGCAATACTGAAGTCTAAAAATACTATGTTAGGGCTGCAGGATAGCTCAGTGGTTAAAGCTGACCGCCCGTTTCACCTCTGTATCTCTCATAAAGGCCAAAAAGTATCAAAATATATTTTTAAAGTTGCAATTAAAAGGCAAGCAATCAAAATGTTACCTTAGTAAAAGTACAACATAATTGGGAACAGATAAAAGTGGTCAAAGTGTATTATATAGGTGATTATTGTTGTTTTTTTGTATACTGTAAAGTAACTTGTAATTAAGTGGTTAAATAAATGTGATTGAGTATAAAGTAAGTAGCAGAAAATGAAAATGCTCAGGTAATGTAAAGTGCAAGCACCTAAACAACATGTACTTAACCACAATACTTAAGTAAATTCCCTTTATATAATTTCACCTATGTGTACGTGCTTTAAAATATGAACTTGTATAGAAGTGGGTAAAAATGAGAGCTAAAGGAAAATGATTGATATCAGCTACCAGGCTTGAATATTACAAATAAATCAGGAACACGTGGGAGCCCTAAAGCGTGTTAAGTTAAGGGAATCCCTGTAACCTCAGCATTTGAATCATAATTGTTCAGACATTTAACATAGCACATACAATTTATTCTCCTCGTGCGGGAGGAATGAGTTGGCGTTGTTATTAGGGTAAATGGCTGCAGGGCCTGCTTCTGTGCTGTCAAAAGCCATTGGCATGACTGTTTCATTTGGAAAAAGAAAAATGGGATATTATGACATTTCGGATTGGATTAACATTTTTCCGTCAGGGGAATACGCTTTGATATGGATCTCCAAGCTGGATCGCATCGATGTCTTTCAACACATTTGGCATTCTCTAATGCTCCAGCAGAATTGAAAAGTTTCATTTCAATTTCAAGTAGAACGGATACAATATGTGTCCAATTAAAAATAACTTAAAGACAAGGGAAAACAAGTCATAAAGTTGATGTGTGGCCATTTTTACGTCGACCAGCAGTAGACAGGAAGTGACTGAAATCTACCCCACCATAGTTGGGTTCAGTGTGGAGGAAACGGAGAGCCAAGCAGCCGATAGCTGGCAGATCTAATAGCATGGATTGGCACGCACGCCTGGAGCGTTTCCTGGAAATATGGGAGGGGTGGATCCCTCTACAGCCATGTTCACCAGAACCAGAATCCAGCCAGGGGAAGATGGGAGAATTTGTGACGCATGAATAAAAAGTGGGTTTTTGGATGAGTTCGGGTGCTACGGCTGGGGGGGGAGGTGTAGTCGTCCAGATGGAGGATGACACTGACAAAGATGTTGCAGACCATAAAGCAGCCAGTTTTCCGAATTGTTTCCTCCTCTCTCCTCTTTACATACCCGCTTCCCTTCCAATGGGAGCCCCAGAGCTCAGATAACCAGATGCATATTAAAAAATATGAACCCTTTTTATTAAACTACAGCTCATCGGTGACACCTCAAAGCTGAGTTGGAGCGGTGGATAAACATGATTTAAAAATAAGATTACTGTATGTGCTCATTGAGTTAGAGTGTTGTTCGGAAACATTGCCTTTAACCCGTTAAAGAATCTATGCTAAGCTAGATTTTTTAATACAAAACATGACGTAACTTTGTAACTGCTTATGATAGAGACAGAATTTGAATTGTGACTGAACTGTGAGAATCTCAGCTTGTGAGTTATTGTGTCATCATGGCAAAATGAGCCCTAAATATAAGTTGAGATTGAAAATGTCCGAGGAAATGGCGCAATTACCCTGTCCATTATTTTCATGAAAAAATAGCCCAACCCTCAAAATTGATAGTTGATAGAGTGTCTCTCCTTGAAGGAATAGTACCATTTTCAGAAAAAGGGTAATTTTCTTTCTTGCAGTGAGTTAGATGAAAAGATTGATACCTCTCTGTCGTATCGCATGAACCATATTTTGCATCTTGTTTGTGAGTGTCTGTATGCGTTATTATGTAGTGTGCGTTTCCTCACATTTCACCATGACCATGTAGACATCTATGGTGCAAATTGGCGGCTGAGGCAGACGCTCCCCTTTCTCCAGGATGTCGGGGATTTCTCTCGTGGGGATGCCGTCGTACGGTTTGCCTCCGAATGTCATCAGCTCCCAGATGGTCACTCCTGGAGGACGTCGGGGGAAAGGAAACAGGAAACAAGAAAGATGGAGAAACGAGATTAGAAGAAAGAAAAAGGGGCAAAATGGAAATTAAGAAAACGATGAGACAACAAGGACCCACCATAACTCCACACGTCACTCTGATGGGTGAACTTCCTGTAGTGGATGCATTCCAGAGCCATCCATTTAATGGGCATCTGAGGAGAGAGAAATACAGACACAAACATTTTAATATGAAAAAGACAGAAAATCACACATGACAATCTTCCATTATTTCCAATATTCTGCTCAACAGCTGACCTATATTTTAATCCAGCGTTTGTGAGATATCGGGATATCGACAAGCATATTTTGCTTTGCTCGATAATACTCAAGTACTGTGATTGATTAGCTCCAGTCCAACTCTGGGATCATCAATAGTGGGCGTACAGGACCATTGGCCTCACATTATCTCCACGGTGTGGGAAATAGTAATAAAACGAGCCCTTTGACATTCCTCACAAGGGCAGCGGCACGCATCGCCATATCCTAACCAACATATGATCTCTGTATTGACTGGAGGGAGGGGATCTCCAGCTGTAGAGCCCACTGAACAAGGCAATTATCTGGGCTTTTGCACACACATGCTCACGATGGGTCATTTAGAATAAAGCCCCGCCTTCGACGTGTCTTCTCTTCAGGGAAACGATCAGAGGGGGAAGGAAATGCTTTACGTTGCAACATCTCCCACCTTTTTCATTTATTAAATATGTTTCACTCGCTTTAAATTCAACTGCCCCCCGGCTCGATAGACGCAGCAAATGAACAAGCCAATTTAATAAAGGGAGTTGATCAGGACAATTTGCAAAGCAAGTCTCGAGCGAGGGAACAAGAAGGGGCTTCTGATTAATGTCGTCTCGGTCTCCAAACAAAACAAACTGATTGGAAAGTGTGGCGCTGTTATTTGTTTGGATGGAGTGTTTCTAAGAGCTTTATTAGGGAGAGTTCACTTTGCTCGACCAAAAGAGTTTCACTGCTTCACGTTAAATGCATTTGTTTCTTTTTTGGTAATTAAGATATCTAGGTTGAAAACACCCAATGGGAAATAGGAAAATACATATGTTTTTCTTCATTTCTCCATTTATACTTGGTAGACAACAATGTATTTCTAATTAATACTTAGTTTTTGCAATTAGACATACATAAATGTTAATAAAAGATACATATATTGTGTTAATGGTTGTATTACAGTGTTAGAGGGGACTGTTACTGAGCATTTTTAGAGCTTTGTCTATGTTTAAGGTCAGGTGAGAAAATGCCTGCCAAGAGAGAACATGCATTTATTTTATTTTGTATTCATTTAGCTGTCCCAGTGTAGACATACTCTTAAAGCTCTGTGCAATGAACATTATAATAAGAATGGAAATAAGAGTATGAATATAAAAGATACATTGTGTAGGTACTGCTTCTGCTAAAATCATTATTTGAGCAGTTGGATCTAAGATTAAAGAAAAAACATTAGGGCTGTCAATCGATTAAAATATTTAATCGCGATTAATCGCATGATTGTCCATAGTTAATCGCGATTAATCGCAAATTAATCGCACATTTTTTATCTGTTCTAAATGTACCTTAGAGGGATATTTTTCAAGTTTTTAATACTCTTATCAACATATGAGTGGACAACTATGCTTTATATGTTTGTTTATTATCATTTGAACAATGACAAATATTCTCATGAATATTAAACACAACAACCTCTGAACATTACAAATATTCGCCTCAATTCAACCTAGAACCTCTCTCATACAATACTGTGTGTGTGTGTGTGTGTGTGTGTGTGTGTGTGTGTGTGTGTGTGTGTGTGTGTGTGTGTGTGTGTGTGTGTGTGTGTGTGTGTGTGAATGTGGAGGATCGTTGGAGCTATGTGCAGCTCAAGGCATATATGCCTGTGTGTATGAGCTGTGTTGCGCGCACTATCCGTGCTGAGTGTGCTGTCTGGCTACCTGCATAAAGTCAAGTGCTCGGCGCAGTTGTCGGCGAAATGTCGCTCCTCTGTTTTCATTGAAACAGCTCCTTATATCCGTTAGCTCAGCTAGCTAGCACCAGATGCTAACAACAACACGTAAGGTGTGCTTCGCTCGCGCCACACATACACACACCCTCCCGGTCCTCCCGATGGCCAGTCCGGGCCTGCCGGTGAGCGTGGAAGTGTGGTCTGCCACAAGCGGGCAGCAGGAGCGGGGCTGTCAGCATCAGCTTGTAGATGGTATTTTAAACTCGATGCGCTCTGAAACTACGGCGGCCGAGGACAAAAAATACACATGCGTTAATCGCGTTAAAATAATTAGTGGCGTTAATTTTTTTTTGCGTTAACGCGTTATTAACGCGTTAACTTGACAGCCCTAAAAAACATATGTTGTGTTTTTAATGTGTGCCTCTCTAAGGCAAACTATTACATTTTATTAAAATCTTAATGTTCCCATTTATTGGTGCTTGTCTTTGCATCTTGAAATTACTAATTATATTGAACTGCTTATGCAAAAAAAAACTACCGCAATATATATATTTTTAATACTTTGTATATACTTACCAAAAAAAATCTTCCCCGGTCTTTTTGTTTGCAGTATAAACAGTACCACACACACACACACACACACACACACACACACACACACACACACACACACACACACACACACACACACACACACACACACACACACACACACACACACACACACACACACACACACACACACACACACACACACACACACACACACACACACACACACACACACACACACACACACACACACACACACACACACACACACACACACACACACACACACGCCTCCACTTACACCAACCTTGCCCCCGTCTGCGTTGTACTCCTTCTCGTCGGCGTCCAGCAGCCGCGCCAGGCCGAAGTCGGTGATCTTGATGTGATTGGGCGACTTCACCAGCACATTGCGGGCTGCCAGGTCTCTGTGGACCAGCCTCCTCTCCTCCAGGTACATCATCCCCTGAGAGAGGGAAGGAGAAAAGGTGAGGGGACTATAAATCTTCTCATGAGGCCGTCTATCATTTCATATCCCGGTCTGAGATCGTCGATGCGCTAAATGTCAGCCCTAACGTCAAATGATTGTCATAACTGTCATCATCATTAACCGCACGCCCACACGGACATTTAGATTCCATCTTTCATCGTTATCATACCCCATAAATGATACAGAGAATGTTAGGCAGCTTTCATGGTACAGCAGAGATGTCAGAAAGTCAGAAATTCAAACTTTTGACATGTGAAACTCTTGAGTCACAGCTCTAAAGAAGAGAACAGAAAAAAACTCAAAGGTTTTTGAGAGGCAGAAATCTGACAAAACGTCAACTTGCAGAGGATCCAGTGGCAGACAAGTCCTTATTAGATATGTGATAACACTTTCTATGACACATAACATACTTGTGAGTTTAGATCTGCTATAGAACTGCATGATTATAGTTATAGACACACATACATATTCATAGTGCTTTCTAACCATCAACACAAATTATAGAACCTTATTGGGTCAAAATCATAATACTTCAATACTTGGCTTTAATTTTAAAAGGAACTACTGTACTTTTAACATTCCCATAGTTGTTATCTATTTATATTGCATTATAATCACTGTTATGCATTATAATTTGATTAGAAATGACAAATTCAACCTATTTTCTGTGTGCTCCGATTGCATATATTTTATCTTAATTAGTATAATAATACATTTTAACTGCAATTAATATGAATTATACATGAAAACAATTAGAATCATAAATAATCCTTGCAAAAAATGATGCAAATATGAAGTAGTATGATATTTCAGTTTATAACTCATTCTGAAATGCTCTAAAATGTGTTACGATCAATGTGAAAAGAATGACAAATATGTAAAACTAACATTATTCCGTGCTTTAAGTAGATTATAGTTAACAGATTTTTTACAATGCCTCCTGATTCCTGCATGCTGAAACATATATTTGAAAAGCTGCCAACACCAGATATTAAAGTGATATAGTGAAATATTAATGCAGGTGAAAGGACATCTTTCTCCCTGCAGTATCTGGACAGAGCAGCTTGTAAAACTACAAGATCAAACAGACACTGGCCGTGTCTCAGTGTGTCTTTCAGTGTGTCTTTCAGTGTGTAACATCAATCTCTACTCCTCGTAACATGTCCAACTGCGGTGTAATCTTGTTCCGTCATAGCAGAGATTGTGTTTCTGACATGCCGCCTCCGTGTCCTCGATAACGGGGGGGGGGGGGGGGCATTTTCAAGACGGCTGGGCAGGTGGGCAGGTGGAACAATAGATGTCCTTCCAATTTGTTAACGTTGATTATGAACACCCCGTGAGCAAGGCAAGCGACGGGGGGAAAACAACAAAGCCTTGAGTGGAGAGAATGGCTACTTTGCTCTGCAGCCTTAATTCGTTGCTCAATGGGCTGGATGGAGCAAGGTCTGTTTGACAGTCGCATAAAAACCCATTTGCAGCCATGCGAGACAGAGGTTTAGCTGCAAACACACATGGCGTCTTTTTTCTCACCGAAGAGGTTTCATCATGCCTTCATGGGCACTGACACACGCTCATCTCCGTGTTTTGTGCTCATAGCTTTCCACAACTGCCGGATGAGCAGGCAAGGTTGGACCGATTGAAGTGTATTAGACTGGATGTTAAACAAGTGGATGCCATTTTTCAAGACGATCAATAAAAACACACCGAGAGGAGGGAGGCAGACAATGAAAAGATTTCAACCAAGGTCCACGCCTCCGAATCATTGTCCATTTACCACACGGTGAAAATACTTTTCATAAATAAATAAATATAAGTGTGTGTGGGCACATAGCGAGGCACATTGTGTTGAAATGCTCCACCTCCTCGTCTCAGACAAATGTGAGAATAAATCGATAGCGCCGACGTTTGGCGCTATCATCCATCATCCGCTGGCCTCTTGGAGACAGACACACACACAGAGACAGAGACCACCCGGAGACCACCCCCTACTCCAAAGAAAGACATATTTCACAGAGCGTAGTCTCGCAATATCTTTATCTGTCTTTCCTTTTGCGTTGTCTTTCACTCTTTTTCTTTTTTGTACCAGTTCAGGCACTCTCCCTCAACTTATTCCATTTCTTTCTTGGAAAGAGCAAGGCCCCAAACACCTCACAGTTTGCTGAAAGAGTATTTAAAATAGATTACTTCTAGGGGGTTCGGGCAGGCGATCAATAACAATGCTGATTACAATAAGCCTGAAGACGCCAGCGCCACGCAATATTTGTCCCCGATGTCAACGTCGAGAGGAATTAGGAATCAATGGGCCACACAGTCCATTAATACACTTCGACTTAAAGTGACAGGGCAATGAGGGGAGGCCATCGCACTGACAGGGTGAATGTACAGCGGATCAACAAGCCAATTAATTTTCAGCCACTCCGGGCGGTAAACACCATAGTCCCGGAGGAGGATGTGGGGGCAGCCCCGGTTTTAGAGGGTCCCGCTGATCGGGCTGCTTTCACACTGCTTAAGAGCGGCAATCCCCGGAGTCCTGAGGTGTTTCTAAATGGAATTGGATCATTTGTGATTACATAACTTGTTTGTTGTCGATCGCACAGGAAGTTGCAGGGGCAGTAATTAAACCTGCCACGTTTGGTAAACAACGTTCCTGCTCCATTATAAATCGTACTCGTTGGAGTCCACACAATATATTACTGTTGTACGATTGACAGGAAGAAGGAGCTTCACTGATTGGTTGCAAGGTTTTCTTACTCATACTAATGCATATTGGTCATGTTATGAATTGCAGATGAAGTTTTAGCTCCATTTGGCAAAACCAATGAAAGAGGAAAACCTTCTTTGCACCCCTGAAAGGTAGAATCCCTTTGTGTTTTCTCTCAGACACCCTTTCTTCTGTGTAGAGAGCGTTTGAGGCACTCCAAACTTTCCACTCAGCTGCAGCACTCAGAGTTCAAAGTATACAGTATGTTTACGGCTGACCTTTAAAAGGCAAGATGATGCATGGGCTTATGTACACAGACGGAGGGAAAATGCATCCTGTCTCTGTCACTTCTAGTTTCCTACTAAGTATAATAAAAACACTTTTAAATATTATTAATGAAAAAAATATAAACCTGTATGCACAACGGTAATGTGATTCATTGACTAACTAAAGATGTAACATGTGATCCATTTCTTTGGCAGGTTTGCAGGCAGGAACAATCCGCACAAAGGCTCCTAAAGTTCACATCAGAGCCCTTAAGCACAGACTAAAGCTCCTGTGGACTTAACAGGAGGGCATCTAAAAACCTGCGACATCGTGAGATCCGATAGAAGATTTCAAGGGCAGCTGGTAACATTCTCTCAGAAGAAGTCCCTATGTCGTACGCTATTGAAAGAAAACCTTTGATTTTTGTATGAAAGCTTAACATGTCATGGGAAAAGAGCTAAGGAGGCCTGAATCTTGTTGATCTTGTGTTCATTTCCCGTGTGAAACCAAATGCTTTGTTTTTTAAAACTGACGACATCATGTCACGTGACGACACCTCAAGGAGACTTTCCTAGCTTAAGTTACATAACAAACTAGTTTTGTTAACTAACCCTAATTGCAAGGTTAACCACGTGTTGCACCGTGAACTTGGAAAACCTGCGTCATTTAATTTGTATTACGCGTTGGCACTCTGGAACAAAACTCCAATTTTAATGTTGACATTATGTCAGATTCAGAAGAGCAACAGCAGCAGCAGCTTTAAGTACAATTATTTGGTTCGGGGCCTGCATAAAAAAGAAAAACACGTACTTGAACCCCATATGAAAGGCCCCGTGGGAGCTGCGCACAGAGAGCTTTGTGAGCCACATGCTACACTGGAGCATTAAGGTCAAGGACCCAGCAGCACTGTTGCCCATCCAAAATGACGGCAGGGTATGTTTTAAGCCCTCAGAGCATGAAGTGCTACCATGCTAGTGTGAAATATAAAACTTTGGTTTTTAACATTGCACTTTATGGAACTTTTCAACAGCTGTTCAGCTGAGACCTTTGCAAGAGTCACAGCATGCTTTAGGACAAGTCCGCAGCACTGTCACCCATGAGCAAAAATAGTTGTGCAGCCAAATGTTTCACCAGCACATTTCTTCATGTGATAGCCATCTTTACATCTGTTCACATTCTTCATAGTTTACCGCTCTCTGCTGTTGTGCTGTGCTGTTGTCTCAGAGAAAAATGGATCAGGCTTTTAATTGCTATTTTCAAGTTCAGTCAAATAAATCGAGAGAGGATGTGGTTGGTGTTTTTGGTCTTTGTAGTTTATCCTCGTCTGACCCGACACAGGATACCAGGTGGGATAATATCAATTTTTTTTAAAACACTGAGGTCTGTTTTCATCTCAGTGGAGCCCTGGATTGTTTACAGGGATTAAAAGTGTTCTGAAGCACGCAACAGACCGGGTCACGGCTGGTCTGTGACCCATTAGCACCTCCTCTCAAGCAGGGGGAAAAGGAGGACTAGAGATCTGAGTCTTCGGCAATGGAGGAAAACAAGAGGATGACGCCAAGCATGAATAAAAGAGTAGAGTGGTGTGGAACTGCAGGGAGCAGTACACCTCAGCGGGGGGGAGAGAGATGCTGTGGAATAAAAGATGCTGGGTATAAAGGGGAGCAGTTGGAAGGTAAGTGGAGAAACAGGAGGACGGACATGATGGAGTACAGCAGGTTAGAAATTCAACTTCCAATGTTTGTCTGTGATATCGACAGCATTACCTATACACTGACGGGGAATCATTGTTAAGCATGTCTGCGTTTGTTGCCAGGCAACATGCTTTTAGAGGAAGCATCAACGGTAAATTGACACAAACATCCATGAGCTCATTTAATGGGGAATTCATGTCAGGAAACGATGGCATGCTGGGTTTCCAGAGGGAGCGATAAGAGCGCCACATGTGGTGCACCCACCCCCATCTCCTGGCAAATCCCCCCCACCGCAAACCCCACCTAATGGGCGA